CGGGTGGATCATCTGTTCGATTGTCTATCTGATCCTTGATTACATATGAGAATGTCCATTGTAGGGAAAGACCATGGGGGTAGCCCATTGCACTTGTTTTTAAGACCATGGGGTAGCCCATGGCATTATAGGGAAGACCATGGGGGTAGCCCATGGCACTTGCTCGTAAGACCATGGGGGTAGCCCAGGATATTGCAAGGAAAGACCATGGGGGTAGCCCATGTCAAGATGTAAGACTATGAATTGGCCCATATCATTCACCCGGGGTTGGAGCAAACCGGTACTTCATGTATGTTTGTTAGGTATGATTATGTAGATAAGAGATTGGACTGTTCGGTGCTAGAACCGAACTCTTGTGTAGATGCATTGTATGTACGATGGAATATGGGGTATATTGGGGAACTCACTAAACTTTATGCTTACATTTGTGGATTAAACATTTTTGCAGGTCGTTCGCAAGAAGAGCTCGGTGAGACTGTACACACGCATCAAATATGCTTGTTTTCGCGGTTTTGTAAATTAACTCTGATATTGTATGATTTTAATCAAATGAATGTTACATGATGGTTTTGAAACAAATGTTTTAATTGGTTACTATATTTTAAAATTGAAAAATCTCTTTGTAATTCTTGGGACGTTATAGATTCTTTATGTTGGAAGTACAAATTCGAGTTGGGAGGAACCATTCACAAAGAATCTTGTTGTCTGCTATGAATATAGATGAAACTTTTTGTCAGAGTGTTCTTTTGTCTTGGAAGTGCAATTTTTTTTAGCATCTTACTAAACTCTTTTTTATTGGAAGTGCAAATTCGAGTTAGGAGGAAGCAATCTCAAAGAATCTCGTTGTCTGCTATGGAGATATATAGATGAAACCGAAACGAATACATGTTCTGTTTGGAGAAAACTAGGGTACCATATTATTTGACCGATTCGTGAATTAGGTTACTGATATAAGTGAAGGACAAGCCATGTATGAAAAACCTCATTAATGATTGTCCCATGTAGGATGCTGTGAGCAAAACCTGAAGAAACCGGTCATTAGGATTAAATGTGTACAAAAACATTAAGAACTAAATGTGTACAAACTAAAAATTATATTACCCTATTTAGTTATTTTTCCGACTTAACCTAGAGTAGATGGTTATAAGGATCGGATGTAGACAAAAAAAAGTTAAATGGTCAAATATGGACAAAAAAATTCAGTGAGTAAATGTATACAAAATAAAAAATACATTATTATCAATAAGAAATGTATTAGATATTTTTCTCTTCTAAATCGACTAACCATATAAGTATCGAATTCAAAGTAAACCCAAATATTTTAAGGTTGTATTAAAATAATTTCAACCTGTTTAATAAGATCAATCATACTTAGTTGGTTAGTAGGAAGAAAACCATGGGTTCTCTTTTTGACCAATGGAGGTGAGGTTATGACTACATCACCATTACAACAAAAGCTACATCTTCTTCACGAAGGAAGGCACCAAACTTAGGCCCCTTATGTTTTTTATTTAATACTATATTAAACTAGTTCAAGATAATTCAAACTTCATCGTAATCATATATCTGATTATGACAATTTCGACCCATTTACACATAGTCGATTTGGGTTCTATTTGTTGTGTACTTGGTTAAATGGTTATAATAACTATCTAAAAACGGGTCAAACGAATTAAACGTAGAGTAAATATAAACATAGTAAAAACATTGCATTTCTTAAACATTTTTACCAAATACCAAGTACAATGTGATCGTGACTATTGAAATCAAAATTGGATTCACAAATAAATAAACAAATAAATAAGTGGAAAGAGTTCTTTGTTGGATTGATGACCCTTTTATGTCATACATCCATTATTTGATAAAATATTTGAAAAGTAAACTCTATTTCAAACCAAAAGATTACCAAAGTCAAATCGAAAAAGGAAAACATAGATAATTAAAAAAAATTAATCAATGTAACCTCACGGTAAAAGATCGATAAAATCCAACAACAAAGTAATTTGTTTTCGAGTTCGTATATGCAGGCCAGATCCTGACATTTCGGAGGCATTGTGTAAAAATCAAAGTGAAACCCCATAAAAATTTCTTGTAAAATATTATAGACAATAAACTGGATAATTTTTTTTTTTATTTTATACTAAGTTTTAAGAAATTTAGTATTATGTTAGTTGTATTATGTTTAATTGGTAAATGTTTTTGTAACAATTCTAGTTCGTTGAATAAACCATCAACATCGATGTCTAAGATATGACCAATTTTCAACCTAGTTTCAATATTTTATGCAACTTGCCTTTAACTAATTGGTATTTAGTGACTTCAACTTTTATGTTGTAAACAATAAAACAAAATATCTTCTTATTGTTTATATTGTTCAAACATTCGTTCAAATTAACCAATAGCATGATCAACTATATATGAAAAATATTGATCCTAAATAACTCTAGAGGTGAAAGTTCATTTACTCGTTTTGATGACCCAACGACAACGTCACTCTCGTAAAAATGTATTTTTTTTAAAATTCTTCTTTTAATATTTTTCTTAATAAACACCAGATAAATTCTCAAATCAGAAGCAATACCTTTCACACAATCCAAAGCCTTCTCAAAACAATATATGAAGTTGCATTTTACGAGAATAGCAAAACTATAACCATATATTTATCTCATAATTCGGAGGCCCCGTGCGACTGCACCTCTCGCACACCCTCGGGGCCGCCTATGCGTATATACAATCCCTTAAATAGTCAAATATGTGTTAACACTACAAGAATTTTGATCTTTAGTGGCGTCGGTCGTCCCCGCTAAAGGTCCAACATGTCGCCGCTAAATGATCGCCGCTGTTGATTCATCGCTAATGCTCCATTGATCGCCGATATTGTTTTTCCGTTGCCGCTAAAGATGCGTCGCCGCTAATGCTCTCCGTCGCCACTAAACGTGTCGCCGCTATTTATATGTATTTCTATTCAAACAAATACACATATCCATATATATAATACACATACATAGTACACATACATATACATAAAAATACATATATACATAGAATTGCACATACAAAAACACATATACATACATAAAATACATTCAAAATACACATATACATACAAATGCACATACAAATACACATCCATATCGACAAACACAAAATACACATATAGATACACCTCTACAATATCAATATTTCGGCGAGAAAGTGGTGGTGACGGTATATTCCGGTGAGAAAGGTGAGGGATCTCAAAATTCCGCCAACCATCTCCAATGCTAGAAATTTAGTAGGGAGAAGAGAAAAGGAAAAGAAAAATGGAGCAGAGAGGGGTGAAATTGCGAAGTTTTCTGTGAAATTCCGATGAGGTCGACGATGGTAAGCAGAGAGAAGAAGGGAAGACACAGAAGATCGGGAAAGAAAGTGAGAACGAAGAGAGTTTTATTGTTGGCGGCCTTTAGCGGCAACGCGTATTCATTGGTGGCGACATATGGGAGGCAAAACAACGCTTACTGTTGGAAAATTAATTTTATTAATTTAAAAAAATGGATTTCTCCATTTTTTAGCACAAATTTTGGACTCAAAATATAATTAAAACGAGTTATTGATTATATATTCGTGTTCTCCTCCGTGATATCTTCGGACCATTCTAGAAGAATTGCTTTCTACTGTTGTATCTTGGGAAACAAACACCCATTGTATTAAGGAAATGGATTTCTTATGTCATCGTAGTCGTAGTATCATCTCTTAAATCGACGGATGAGATTGAAATGACGCGGATCGCCAACAAAAGCCTTTAGCGGCAACACGGAAAACAACGCGGTTGCGGCGACACCGTTAATTAATAACATGATTCAGTATTCTGTTTCCTCTTTTAAAGAGACTCAAAAGCTTAAAGAAAAGGTTAAGTTAATGGAATGACTAAAAATCCCACAAAAAATAACGTAAAGCTTAGTCAGTTATATTAACGAAAAGGCTAAACTATATAATAAATCCAAATAAGTAAAATAACTAATTAACATTTTTTAAGTTTTTTTTTTTTTGAAACGAATTTTATCACCGAGAAACTACCAAAAGGAATAAATATAGGAATTACATGCCATTAATGCAATACAACTCCACGAGTAGTCAAGTACCATTCATAATTAAACCTTCCCTTTAAGACTCTTGATCCAAAGGTGAGGTGTTATAGCAATTTGATTTCATCTGGTAGCAACCTATGTTATTTAATGATTCATGGTCGGTCCGTAGGCTTTGTCTAAAAATTAAAAATGGGCTTCTAAATATATTTTTAGAAAAATTCATTAATATTATAATAAATGTTATACTAATAGTTGTGGGTCAAATTTCAGGACGATCAAAGCGATAATGAAAAAGTTGAAAATTTTGAATGCTCAAGTCTTTTTAGAAATTTCCATGACCGGGTTACCATTACCTTTGAGGTGAACTTGGCCGAGTCGAGCCAAAAATCAAGAAATGTGTTGTGACTCGGTCAAGTCACAAGTCAAGAAAAGTCAATGGATGATAGACTAAAATCAAAAGTTCCAAATTTAGACACAAGATTGAAACAAAAACGAAAGTAGATGTAAATATTGCTTAAACCAAGAGACAATTTCTGTGATTTACTCTATTTATAATTTATATAATATAATTCGAAAAAAATGGCCACAAAAATGTAATTAAACGGACAATTTCTGTGATTTACTAACACGTCCATATTATCACAATTTTGCTTAAAAAAATTATTTGTTGCCATAAAACCGCTTATAAATTTTTGTGTGTTTCTTTTAAGCTATTACTAGAAAATACTTAATCATTTATGGACCAATATATAATTTAACAATAGGGGATGCATATATGCCTACAAAACTTAATGGGCAAGTACCATGTGAAAAAGTTGTTCTAAATGACAATAGCTAACCAAAAGCCATAACTTTTAAATCTTGATTCTATAATCTTGAGGGCACCCCATTGCTATATAAAGGGTCCCCTTATGTTTCCTACTTATACTCAAGACTTAACCTTTTTCATCACGAAAATCGTTTGTAACGTAATTCATGTCTAATGAAGATAAGAACTATACACAAAACGCTACTTTTGATGTTAAAGAAAAGCTCAATTTTGTGAGAGATGGAGCCATCAAATTGCCACCAGGGTTTAGGTTTCAACCCACCGATCAAGAGATTGTGTTTCAATATCTGGTTCGTAAGGTCTTCTCTTGCCCGTTGCCTGCCTCCATCATCCCTGAAATCATCAACATTTGCAAGTTCAATCCTTGGGATTTACCAGGTTAGAATTGTATAAAACCAAAGAAAACCCTAAAAACTCTAAATGGTGGATCACAATTTTATAAGTCTTATATTTTTGGGTTAACTGCAAACAGTTTTTGCTAGATATTTATTATTTTACTGATCAATACAAAGCTTACCATTTTTTTTATTATTTTATGTAAAATTTGTCATTTTTTTACCATCTTATGTAAGATTTGCATAAAATGATTGTATATTTTTCTCTACTGTTGACCTTAGTTAATTAAAAAAAAAAAAAAAAAAAACTTGCTTATTTTATTTTGGAAATATGTTCATAGGTGAGTGGGAGCAAGAAAGATACTTCTTTAGCAAGAAGGAGGCCAAGTATGGGCAAGGAAATAGAGTAAATAGAAAGAGTGGTGATGGGTATTGGAAAGCAACTGGTTTTGATAAGCATATCACTAGATGTTGCAGTAACAATACCATTTCCAGAAAGAAAGATACCATTACAGGGATGAAGAAGACGCTCGTGTTCTATAAAAACAAACCATCAACGACTAGAACTCATTGGATCATGCATGAGTATCACCTTGTTCATTCGCCTGCTTCACCAACAACCACCACAAACGATAAGGTAACATTCTTGAACTAAATCGTACAAAAAGAACTTGTTCAAGAAGCCAAAAGGGTATCATCATACTCATTTTTAAATGATGTTGGGTGTCTTTTGATATGCAGAAATCTTGGATTCAGATGGGAAATTGGGTTTTGTGTCATGTATTGTTGAACAAAAGAAGTCGAAAATCGTTTGAAGATGATACTGGGAAGAGGTTGGGCTCACAGGAACAAATGCGTCCAAATTTTACGAGAGATGATGATGATGATGATGCAATTTCTATCAATTGCGACGAAGCTACTTCATCTTCTTCATCATGTGGTTCTAGTGTGGTTACTCAAGAAGAGTCCTCGAGTAAGAGCTATTAGATGATAAAGAAACGAATTAAGAATGTATAGTTTAATCTAATTAATGTAACCTTTATCATTTAAGAAAATGATTTATCGAGAGGAAATGACTAGTTTTAAAATGTAATATATATTGTTCAAGAATTTGCTTATGTATGATTAACATCATATTTGATAGAAGTGAAAATTAGTAGATTAGATGATGGGTTATGTTTTTGACAATACATATTAATATACTAGTTGTGAAACTCGTATGTTATATAGGTTGGATAAAACAAAAAATTAAATATGAAGGTTTAAACCAAAATTTATTTAAATTTGAAATTTAAAACTTAAATTTAAAAGGAAACATATTAAATACAATATATGAAGTGTAAATATGATGTGTTAATTAAAAAAATATTTAAAATAAAATGAGAAAATGACAAATGGAAAAAAAATATTTGTTCAAAATAACAACAAAATGACATGTGACAAAATGAATGAGAGTGTTACATATGACAAAAAGATCTTTATTTATTAGAATAGAAGAAGAAGATGTGGGGTTGGCTTGACTCATTTGTCAATAATATTTATTTATCTTTTATTGGAAAATATTTATTAAAGTTTTTACATTTTAACGTTATTTTAAATTAAGCTCATCATCCATTCCTTGTTATGTGGCGAGGAAAAATTTCATTAGAACCCCTATATTCTAACCTCCTTTACTGATAAACCATAACTTAAAAAAAAAAAAATAAATAAATAAATAATCTATTGAAAATTCTTATGTTCTGAAGTTATTTATGATTTAGTCCTTATCTTTATATAATCATATAAGTCCCAAAAATTAGCAATTGTTTGCATTTTGTCCAATTTACCCGATAAATGGGTCACCAACAAAATATGAGATTTTTTTCGTAAATAAATCAAAATATAAGGATTTAAAAAAAACATATATTATGCTTAATTTTTTGATATTTTCTTATTATCTTAGTATATTTTTTCTATCTAACATATTGTATTACTTTACATTAATCTTATGATATTTTTTTTGTTTGACAAAGAATATATATATTATGAAAATAGTTTTTTTCTTCTAAAATAATTGTTTTTGTAATTGTTAGGTTAGGATCCTTGAATCTTATTCAGGATCCTCGAATATTTCTGAATCCTTAAACATATCCCATGATCCTGACTATTATCATTAATATTTCTAATACTTGTAACGACTATATTTTCTCTATTTTTTCACATGTGCAGAACTAGTCAACACAAGCCTCATTCTCAACGGAGAGTCACCTTAACCAGGGAAAATACCTGGAATACCAAGTCAAATAACGTTCATATGCTGATTCCGGAGGATCCCGAAATTATCGGATTTCTTGTTACTTACATTAGACTATAAATAACACATATATCTAGCACACTAGACACGTTTTAACTCATCTACGATACTTGTACTTACATTTACACATTCATCTCTGTAAATCAACTTTTGATATCAATAAAAACATCAATGCATGTGATTATTATCACCTCCCAATGTTTTATATCGGGGATCCTATCAAGGATCAAAGGCTTTCCTTGTAACTCACTTATGCCACTTTGATCATTATTTCACACTTGATTTACTACGAACATCACAACCTCTCATACAATTTGGTCGAATTATACTTTATCAATTTTTGACCAAAATAATTTGGCGCCCACCATGGGGCCGTGGTGTTCATAGTCATTTGGGATACATGTCTACCCACTCAACCTTATCCTCTTCCTCCATTCCTCCCATTTCCTCTCAAAACCTTCCTCCACCCCCAGGGGGAGCTCCCAAGAAAGCCTCCGAGGCACCGAAGAAAAACACTTCTCTGGTCGCTACCCAAGGATTTCAGGATCCTCCTGTGTTGATTTCCAATAATGAAATGATCGCTATGATGAAAAGACCGGAACGACAAGCCACTCGACAATAGTAGGATAACAGGACAATACTCAAGGAAGTGGAGAGAATGAGGGCAGAGATCCACAAGCCTCAAGAAGCAGCACCCTCGATCTTGCAGCCCAAGATCCTAAACTTTGACAACACATGATCCTTAGCGAACCGTCGCAACATAGGATCCTCAATACCGGCCTCTGTTCCCACTTGGGGTGCAACTCCAAGAGAGCAAGCCCATACAACCCAGGATCCCAACAAAACCTTTGTCATTCCCAATAACAAGGATCCTGGTAACTTCGTCAATAATAATATCTTCACTACTAACTCTATGGATGTTGATGCAGGAATAAGCCCGCTCATGGCCAAAGAACTTCAACATCGACGACATGTGATCTCAAGTGTACCTGGAATAGTCCAACCTATACCGTAAGTATCCCCAACAGGCCACAGGATCTCGAGATTCACTCCTGCAATCGCTGACACCGAGGTCCCAAAGCGCTTCCAAACTCCCATCATGAAGCCTTATGACGGGACCAAGGATCATGAAGAGCATGTGGCACAATACAGGGAAAAAATAGAGAGCATCCCCATTCCCACACACTTGAAGGAAGCTTTCCTGTGCAAGGGTTTTGGTTCCACCCTCATAGGATCAACCTTGAGCATTAAAATGCCTCCGTATGAAGCCTTGTACGGGAGGAAGTGCAGGACGCCCGTTTGTTGGGGCGAGGTTG